TGGAACAGCCAGGTTTTAAGGGCTTTGCGGAAGGCCTGGAGGGTGGTGAGGGTTCGAATCTCCACGGGGAGCTGGAGCTCCTCCGGGTAGTCGCCAGTCGGCATTGGCCGGCGGATGGAATTCGGAGGAGGCCTAATCTGTGGGATCTGATCGGTCTATTGGAGGTAATTGGCAGCAGGCGGTCTCTCAGCTTGCTGGCTTTCTGGCTTGCTGGCTTTCTTGCATATGTTTCATTACTAAGCTAGGTAACATCATGCTAGCATTGATGATGTTACCTAGCTTAATTAAACAATTGCAAGAAAACCACCAAGTTCAAAGAGTACGAAGGGCCCCCCAGTTCAATCCTGAGCTGCAAATATTCTCTTATATCAGTATCCAGACCACTGCTTTTCAAGTACAATAAATGAAGATGGCAGATGAGGAGGTCTTTGGTAGAAAATGGGCCCCATGCCAAACAACTCAAAGTGTTTGCTTGTGTCTTCTTTGTGGTGTATCTAATGGATGCTATTCCACTGAATACTTAAGAGATAATGGTTCAGTTAATGGGAAGGAAAGTTCTAGCCAATGAAGACTCTGATCAGAAAGACAAGATTATTGGGTACCTTTGTCAATAAAGCCATCCTATTATGATGGATGGAAAATGAAGAATCAGGCTTTCTATTACCTACACAAAAAAGCTCAAAGCAAATATCAGTGAGGCATCCACTTATGGACAATTTGTAGGAGAGGGTTTAAAAGGGATGTCTCTTTTATATGGCCAAATCATAGTCCATGAAAACTTCTCTAGTCCCTGATGGTTGCTGATATTTATTGTAAACTGAGGTGATACATTGCACTAAATCAAATTTTTCTATAACTGTTACGGTATTTATTGATTGCATCACGATCGATTGGATTTGCATAAGGCCGTGAGCCAAAAGCAGACTAATCCCAAGATGATCATTTATAACCTGGCCAAGTTAATCAAGCATTGTGGTCTACAAGTTGAGAATTATGGTCTGCTTTGTGACTATTGGTTCATGCCACATTTGGCTGTGATATTTAAATTAACCAAATGGATGGCATGGATACCACAATATTTTATGACCAAAATATTAAGATCAACCTTGGTCTGATCTCAAACAGCAGGGTAAGACTTGGTTACGATTCGGAGAGGAGCTGTAGGCTGACCTGAGAATTTGAAAGAATATCTGGCATAATTCATTGGCAAATCACTTGTGGTCAAGAAAACTATAGAGATGTCCATGAAGTCCCAATGCCCTGAGAAAGGTAAAGCTTTCCATTTTAAAGATCTAAAAGTTAAGACCAGTGAAAATAACATGATTGAGAAGGAAAATAGAAGTCTATAGTTTTCTTTAAAACCTGAGCAGTTTGTTTTCAGGATTCACCTCTCTTTCATCCCTTAAACAGGACAGTTCTGGATCAGATGAAGATCTGATTTTGAGCCTTCCCAATTTATTATCATTTAAGTTAAAGGAATATATATATATATATATATATATATATATATATATA